TTTTTTTTGGTTTTTCTCCGGTACCGGGAACCGAACTCATGACCTTGTGCTTGCCAGGCAGGCGCTTTTGCCGCTGAGCTAAATCCCCAGCCCCTGAACAATCTTTTTCAGATACCCATTTTTGGATGAGGGAGGGAGACAACTTTAATAGATTATTCTCTTATCAAATTAAGGAAATGCATTTAGAACAACTCAACTTTAATTTCATTATTATATATAAAAGTACTTACAGTTATGTGTGTGTGTGTGTATCCATTGATAAAATTTATCATAGATATATTCGAGATTTAAATATGCTGCAAAGTGTCATGGACTCAAGGGATTGAGTGAGCACTTTTACAATGCCTCTGAAGACTTAGCAAAATATATAGAGTGTGCAAATCTGGTCTTAGAGAGTTCAGATGGGTATACATGGTAAACAAGCAACTAAAAGACTCAGTAAGGTAAAGCAAGTCTCTGGATGCTCACATATGAATTAGATTGTATATGAAGGTGATAAAGTGGTCCCAAAGGTATTCATAATTGCATTTTAGAATACCTCCCGTTATTAGTAGAGGATGTCTTCAACCCAGAAATTGCCTTTGTTGCACCAGTATATACTTTATCATATATTTAAAACAAGTATAACTGCTAAATCCTGGCAAAATATCTGCAAGTTCAGATAAATCATCCAATTTTGAATTAACATTTTAACCTAGTAGTTTCCTAAATGGAGTGTCTTTTACTAAGAGTTTATTTTTGTTTGGTTTGGCTAATGGCATTTCTTAGTATGTTCAGGTTTTGGTAGATTATATCACATTTATGTGTAACTCTACATGCATGTATTCAATGTGTCTTTCAGTGACAGACTGACATAGAAGTTCCTTGTTTTTCCCTAGTATCTTTGAAGGTGAGCTATTGTATAAGGAATAACATGTGCATCAGTGTGTTTGATAGCCAAGTTCAAATTGTATTCCTGAAGCATTACTTCACAACTTTGTGAAGTTTTCCCAGTAAATATGCCAGGATATCATCAACTCCGACATGAATTTTTCTTTAATGAAATTCTCAAAGGCTGTACCTGCTTTGGTAATACTAATAGCTGTATTCAGATGCCTATTTATGTTCTGATAGAAAGTCTTTGAAAAGATTTTTAAGTGAATAAAGGTTTTTTTAAATGATGGAACAAATTTCAAGACATGTTTTGCATTAAACCATTTAAAACGCTAATTCTAGGACTAGTTATTTTGTTTCCTTTCCTAAGATTTTGATACGCTGCATCTTATTTTCTTTTTCTCATCAAACCTTGCTTCACTAAAAACTGATCTAAGGCAATATTGTACTTAAAAATTAGGTTCAAAGTTTAGCTGTAACTCAGACATGTAAAATTACTGAAAATTCCAATTCTGTTGCAAAGCCTCACAACAGTTTCGTGT